AAAAAAAAAAAAAGTGAACCAAAGATGTGGTAATGATAACTGTTTCATTTTTCATTTTTCATTTTTTTTCATACTTTTTCTTTGGTCTATCATCTGTTGTGTTTCAATCAAATATCAAAGCATAAAAAGAATGAAAAAAAAAAACTTTTAGTTAGAAAAGATTTTTTTTTTTTTGTTTCACTTATTTACGATCTGTCAAATAGATATTTCTTTCTTTTTTTTTTTTCGTTGTGAAAAAGCAATATAACTAAAGAAGAAAAGAAAAGAAACAAAAAAAACGATAGTAAAAGTAGGAAAATAAAAGCAAAAAAAAGATGTGCTTTTTTTTTTTGGAACATATATATTTCATAGCAACACATACCTTTGCCATCTTAAATGTGGTGTATTTCGTAAAAAAGAATCTGCTATTCTTACTGCATCATCATTACTGATAACATCCCAGAAGCCGTCTGATGCCACCAAAATGAATCGTAGATTTAGCTCTGTTAGATCTTTGAAAACAACATCCGGTGTTGCCGTCAATATAGCGCAACGTTTCAGTGCTGTATCGCCAAAAGCTCTACAAAAAAAAAATGAGGATTAAATAATAAAAAAATTAGTAACTAAATAAATATAAAATAAAACAAACAAAAAAAAAAACACAGATTACTTATTAAATATTTGCCAAAATGTTGCAGTTGTTCTAAGAGAGAAGATTAGACTAAACTAGTAAAATTGATTGACTACTTGAATAGAACTATTGTTTCCTTCTTTTTTTTTTTTCACATGAAATAACAAATAAAATTAATCCACTAACACTAAAAAAAAGAAGAAAAAGGTCATTTTTTTTTGCTACTATCAGTTCAGAGTTTGGTTTCTTTGATGACTGATCACCACTGGGAAAGACCCATAAAATAAAACTGAAAAAAAACAAAAAAAAATAAGCTAAAAGATATTTAATTTTTCTAAGAAGTTGTGCTTTTAAATCAACCAGCGTTACAAAACGAATTATAAGCTTCACTGCTTTTGATGGTTATACTTAATGCAGTATTTTTTATGTTATGATTATATAAATTTGTTTTTTTTTTTTTTGTTGTTGTTTGTTTTATTTTTACTTATTCATTTTTTTTTTATCTAATGACGAATGGTAGATCAAACTTTAAAAACAAAAAAACTTTTTTTATTTTGATTGAAGGCAGCAAAAAAAAAAAAAGAAAAAAAAAGAGAATAAAAATAATGAATAATAATGATGGCATTAAAAAACAAAACTATTTACTGCTATTCATCGAGAA